GAGAGAGAGAGAGAGAGAAGAGAGAGAGAAAGAAAGAGAGGTTGAGCCAGGAAGAGAAGAGAGTCACCTACCTTAGATGAAGGTGCTGGTGCTGGGTTGCTGAATTCTGCGCTGTTGAGAGTTTGGTGACTGGTTCTCCGAAACTGTTTAACAAATTAATGTGATAATTTGTTGGAATTTCTAAGCTGCGCATTTCTGGACTTTGCATCTCTGGACTCCAGCGTGGATTTCGTGTGATCTCTCAATGTGTGTGTGTGTGCGCAAGGTGTCGAGCAGAGAGGCTCACTGCAATAATTGGTATCGGAGCTGGTAACTCCCTCCATCCGCTGGTGATGAATGCTGGCATGATTAAGGCCGGTGAGTGAAGGTTGGGAGTTTGATATAGGGGCTGTAGGCCGAAGAAGAAGTGGCCAGTATTGGGGGATGGTGATCACATACCTGCATGCGAGGAGCGTCGAGGAGATTCATCTAAGGAACGTTCACAAGTGAAGTGCATCGCCCCCTAAGCCCTGTATTTGCTTTAATGAATGCGGAAGTGTTTTGGTACCTTCCCACATCTTGGTGTTGCTGCTGCTGGAAAGAACACTTGGTGACAATCTGATTTTGTCTTGAGTCAGCATCTGGTCAGACATATGTCTATGAAGTAGGTCGTGTCTAGGCTAGAAGCTCGGCAACTGGATGTATCACCCGTAAAGTAGGGAGGATGGGCATGAGCGGCGAGCGCTCGTAAAACAACTCGTCTAACCCTAAGACCGGTTTGACTGGCATGTAACAAAACCGGAGCTGACGCAGTTAGGAGCTATAAGTCTTGAGAGCGAACCTTCAGATCCTGGTGGGCACAACGTCCTGTCTGCGCCATTAAATAATTCCTGAGGTCCTTGCTGGCTGACCATAAGCTGCTGGTTGCCAACCAGCCTGACAGGGTAGCTGTAGTGACACTGTGGGGGGGAAGAACTCAGGTCCGACTCCAATCTAGATTAGGTAGTTTAAGTGTTGAGGGTGAGTTTTGCATGGTGAGGAGGTGGAGGCTACATACCTGTGCCTTTAGTAACCATGGATGACTACCCAATGTTAGCTATGTTGACCCTGTTCGTGCTATGGGGTTCACTCCTCCGTTTCTTGTTTCCTCTAGGATTCCACCGGACATGCATCACGAGTGTAACTATGAGATCTGGTGGGACAACACAGCCATATACAACAGATCAGCAGGCAGAAATTGATCGGAAGATGGCTGAGAAGAAGAAAGAGGAGGAGAAAAAAAGAGAGGAGGAGGAGGAAGTTAAGAAGGAACTAGAGGAGGAGAAAGAGAAAATGGAGAAAGAAATGAAGAAGAGAGAAGAAGGAGCTAGAAGTTGAAGAAGAAGAGGAAGGAGAAGAAGAAGAAGAAAGAGGAGGATTGGTGAGGAGACGAGCCCAACCAGAAGGAGAGGAGGTGGCGGAGAGAAGCTATGCTGCGGAGTTGAGACTCCAGCAGGTTGAGGACTTGGACTAAGTGGAAAATTTTGGGTACTGGACAAAGCTTCCAGAAGAAACTAATTAAGAGAGGGATCGTTTTGTAGCGAAGTTGGCAGCAACAAGGGATCAAGAGGAAAGGAAGTTGCTGATTGAGGAGGAAAAAGGGGAACTCAATCAAAAGTTACTGGTTGCAAGAAGGAAAGAATTTGAGGAGAGGAAGGGGAGAGACTCCAGACATTGTTGAAAGAGTTGAAAGGGAAACAAATATAAACTTTGGAACGCTGGAACATTCTGACTGACACTTTGCTGCATACCACCCATGAACTCTCTGCACTTCAACGAGCCGTTAGAAAGGTAGAACAACACTAGGAAGAGTTTAAGGGCATCTGGAATAACTACCTTAGTGCGTCATCTAGCCAAGTGGACCATAGGGTCCTACAGTATGCACGCCAATTAGACGATATCTTCACTCAGAAACTGATTAACATCATTGGCGGGGGTGTAGATGGTGGCGATGATGGGGATGGCGACAAGAAAGGAAAGGTCCTTCAAGGCCCTAAAAACGTCCTCTATCCTAATGCACTGTGAGTATTGCACCATTGAGGTACAACCTGCCTCCTTCATCAACGAAATTGCAAAGCTTGCCGCATCTCCCCCTAGACACGAACTCGCCATAAGTACGCAGTCCCAATATGGAATCAACAGTGCGTACAGGTTCATGTCCATCACCGCCTCACAATGAAAAATGCTCTCCTCCTTCCCTGCGTATGTCCAAGGGAGTTTTACATTCATCTTGTCCCTTTGTTCTCCTCTCTCAGACTTATCTCCTTCCTTCCTTCGTGTTGGGGCTTTTGTGTGAGAGTAAGTTTGGAGTGGCGAGACACTTCGAGAAGACTTTGTGCTACAATTTGGGAGAGGTGACAGTGAGAGGCACTCAAGGGAGACACTTGGCGAATTTAGGGCTTCCCTCAAGTAGGCGAGCTTGAGGAAAGCAACCATTATGCATCTATGGATTGCAAGTTGCTACTTTGTTCTTCAACATATTGATTGCCTGTTGGGGTTACTCTGGGTTTCTTTTTCTACTCCTCTGTAGTCTTTATTTGTGAATCTGAGTATGCAAACTTTTTCTCACTTGATGGATGAAGAGATGAGGTATCTTGCCTTGGACACCATATCTTCCTACAATGCGTTGTCTCTTTGTCTTTGAACAGATGTAGACTGTAGGTTCGTTCTGAAGTTGAAATTTGTTTTCCAGTTCAGTAGAGGCAGAACGTAGGTCCATGCGGGACTCTTCTTGGTTGGGACTTGGTCACGACCTACTTGGGACCTTCCAGGTACCCTGTGGGACCAGACCCACGCAAGAAAGTCCCCTTAGGCCCAAATCTGTTTGACGTTAGATCATTCTCTTTCAGTATGGGACACAAAGTTTTATTCTTTGGTTGGAGCACTCGCAACCGATGGGATCTCGACTGAGATTTTTTGTATACTTTGACCGCACGGTCCGTAGTTTGACTCACACCTTATACACCACTCAATTCTTCATTGTTGCATGTTGTTACTCGTTGTCTGAACTTGTTGTACGTCCACGGAACTGATCAGATTGGACTCAAGGGGATCTCGTATTCGGTCTGATCAGGCTCAGACGCTAGATCAGATCTCTCATCTGAATTATTTTTTGTTGTCGTATGGTTGCTTTCTAGTCCAAATGTAATGCCGCTCCGGCTAGGAGTTCTACCTTCTCTTCCTTGAGCTTTTCAGTTGTTCCTTTTCTGAGTTCATATTTCCATGTCTGTAGAGACTTGTGGACAAAAGGAAGAGAGAGAGAGAGAGAGAAGGGAGAGAAAAAGAACTCATCTTAAAAGACTTGCCGAGTCTTTTTCCATAATGCCTGAGAACCCCGGTAGTTCTAACATGGCCACTGTAAAGGCCTACGTAGTCTTAAAGGCCCAATTGGATGCAGCCAACGATGAGGACAAGTTATTGTTCCAAGTCCTCTACAACAAGGCATTGGAGAGAGAAGAGAAGGCAGAGGAGGAAAAGCCGAAAACCGTTGTTGCGAACCACGGGGCTGTTTCCAAAACAGTCCCCTCCTTGCCCGACACTAAGGTCAAGAAAGATCTAGTCGCATATCTGCGTGCTCTCATAGACTGTCACCTACTCAGTGAAATTCCTAGTCAGATCGCTAAACTTTTTGACCAGTTAAGTGAACTGCGGATGCAAATTGTGGATATGGCAAAGGAGCACAGTGATCAGATGCAGCAAATAGCATATCTGCATCAGGCCCAGATCCCAAACTCTCTTCCTCTGCCTTCTGCCTCAAATGTTCTTAACCAGTATGTCCTTGCTCCTCTTCATGCCTCTACCTCTTCGTCTCTAAGTCTGGTTCAATCGG